AGATTTTGGTAAGACTATCTCCTTATATGCATCCCTACTTTGAGATTCATGTATACCTCAGCCAGATTTTGGTGTGTTTACCTCAGCTAGTTTTCTACTACTATCTTTTAATGATGAAAACATGATACAAATACTTTTTAAGTTCTACACACTCAACGGAGAGTGTGGTAACTAGTGTGATTGTGTAGACTTAAAATAGGAATTCTACATGATCTAGAAGATTCTTTCTATATACAACTTGTATTACTTGTAGGGCAAGTAAAATCCATAATAATTAGTATAAATAAAAGCACTAAACATGTCACTTAGTACTACGGTCTAGTGGTATTACTTTTTGCATGTAAGTGAGAGGTCTTAGGTTTTATTCTCGCTGAAGGCGGATTTGAATCACATTATTGCTAGCATATTATGAAGCTTAGCCCACTTCCGCACCCTCTTAGTATAGATAATATGCTTTGTTCAAAACAAAATAATAAATAAATAACACACTAAACATGAAGAATTATATACATAAAAGGGTAATGTTAGGAAGATCAAATTTTTAAACAAACTTTTGTAAATCAAATGATGTGATTATTGATGATTGAATTATTATTTAAATATTAATTAATGTGCTTATTTCTTATTAGAGACACATTATTTAGTTTGTAAATTACATCAATTAATTTATAAATTTATTTTAAAATTTAATCTGCCTAACATTATCCTAAATAAAATTCCTCACTCCTTTCTCTCTTTTCCTTCTCTTTTATGGACCCTCTTTCTCGGCTCTCTCTCGTTTTACAACAATCGCTTTTACCGTTGTTTCATGATTCAATTATAAAAGTGGTTGCATTATTATTAGACTTCTGTCCTCGTATGGCACAACATGAAACATGTAAAGCCATATAGTATCGGGTATCGAACCATACGGTAGCACACTATAAGAACTTTAGGACGTGTTTACGAACCCATAATCGAAATAAAAATAAGAAATCTGATTTCGATTATGAATTATATTTGTATTTACTAAAATTGGAAGGAATCAAAATTGCGTGGAACCCACACAAAAAAATGGAATTCAATTCCAGGGATTGGAGGAATTAGACTCCCTTTATGAAGTGGTAATTGAATTCCGAGAGGGTGAGGGAATCATGAATGCATTTGCTCTTCCTATTATGCCATGTTATCAATATGTCGTTTAACCCAACAAATTTCCGGTTCTGGTTGGGTGAGGGAATCATAAAGCCGATAGGTTCAGGAGATCTGCTAGTCGCATATGAGATCTCGTCCCCGAACATCGGATCGTTGTCATTCAGGAGGCGATGGATCAGCCGCTTCGACACCGTCGACATGCACGCGATGACGTAGCTCCGGGACTATGACATTAACGTTAGTATCTCATGAGCAGCTTCTCACTTGCCGCCCATCCTCCTGCGACATCGCTTTGACGATCGCGACTCGAGGTCTAGGGCCAAATTGCTCGCGTGTCTAGTCTTGACGGCTCAATGCTTTCTGTTTTTGGGGTTTTTCTTTAGTGGAGAGGAAGATGAATGTGGCTGGGTTGTTTCTTTGGCTTTTAGCCTCTTACACAATTGCGGACATTTAACTCTTTAATTGAACTAAATAACTAAAAATAACTAGTTAAATGTTTTTAAAAATAAATATAGAATAAAATAAAACAAAAAGGATATTTTAGTAATCATATTTATTCCGATTCAACTGAATTAGTAAACAACTTCTATGAATTCAGTTTCATTTATATTCTGATTTTTTAACATTTAAGTAAACAGCTTCAATAGGAATCCGATTATGATTCCTCTTCATTTCAATTCCTCCTCAATTCAATTCCTCATATTTTGATTACGGTTACGTAAACGAGCCATTACTGTAGTCAAGGGGGTGATGCTCAAACTCGGTTCTAGCATCTTCACTCCTTACCCCCTTCACTGTATGGTTTGTTGTTGGTCAGTTGTTGCTTGTCTCAGTGTAGGCTTCCTCTATTGTTGTGGCATCTTTGCCCTGGTAATGTTATTCCCAGTTTCCAAAAAAAAAAAATGGCAAGCCATTCAGTATTGCGTAATGTTAGGGAGACTAAATTTGGAGACAAAATTTACAAACTAAATGATATGTCGCCAATAAAAATGAACATGTTTATCAACGCTTAAATAATAAACTAATTATCAACTTCCATGTCTTTTAATTTTTAACTTTTATGTCCAAATTTAATCTTCCTTACATTACCCTTCAATATTTAGTTGGAGTCGAACTTTCTGATGGCACACCAAAAGCATGTATTCCATTTATTCCCCATGTCAGCTACAAACAAAAATCATGAATATAGAATGGTATATTAAGTTCCGACCAAAGCCATTGAAATTCTAACGTTCCCCTCCCAAAAAATGGTTTGGAACAAAAGCTTTTAAATCTAGTCAGCTAAAGTAATGTATTACATTCTCCGCACCTAAGTTCGTATTGATACTATTCATAATTTAATAGAAGGAGCAAGTTAGAGGCTTCGTTTGACTTCTCACTGGTGAGGGGCTACGACGTCGTTTTACAGGTGCTCCTATAAAGCCCCATCATAAGCCAGAGGTAATGAGCCTTTTCATGTAATTTCCTCTCGGCACTTCCTTCCCTCCTCTTTTCGATCAGTCGTCACTCGAGACACTTCCTTGGTTCCTCTGCCGTTCCTATCTACTCACTCCTCACCCATATCCAACGTTGGAAGACAAATCCATGGTAGTCACCCACCGCATCAAACGCTGTCGTCGTGCCTACATGCTTTCATGCCATCGTTGCTTTCTCTCCGCCATCTATTTGCAAGCTCTGTGTAAATTTTTCTATTTGCTTATTTGTTTTTGTTTCGGGTTTTAATTTTTTATCGGAAAATAGGATATGGAGAATCGGTATTCGGTGATATGGGAAATAATGGGTGAATCGGTGATATTGAGAATAATGAATATTTTTTTGTTTTTTGTTTTTTTAGTTTACTGGAAAAATGGGATGATTGAGTCCAAATCTCATGGTTTTTAACTTTTTTGTTTGTTTCCACAGAATATGTTTCAAGGCTTTTGAAGTAAATCAGCCAACAACAACCCAAATTTCCAGATTTTTCTCCTTCATTTTCTTTCCATTTTTTTACCCAAAAAAAAAAAAAAGGGAACCAAATTGAACCGTAATAAACTAAACTGAATCTTAATGAACTGAACCAAATTATATCAGTTTCTCTTTTAAATTTTGAGAAAATTGAACCGAATAGTAATTTCGGTTTGGTTTTCACTTTTTGGCAAAAAATCGAACCAGATAAAACCGAGCTCACACCCTAATTATTATGAGGAAAGTGATGGATTGCGCTAGTAGTTAAGTCTTCTTCTTATATAGTTTAGAATAATAATTATCGCTTGTAATAAAACAAAAGACTATAAAGGCTAACTATAGCTGAATGGAATAAGTACATTAGCAGAATGAAACATGCAAATGTTCAGAAAATAAAAAAGGGAATAAAGGTTGACATTTGAAATTTTAAAGTTCAAACTTTGGGTATTTACTTGAGCTTGGGAGCCAAAAATGTGGAGTTGAAAACTTCAACTTTAGATTTCTAAGTGAACAGTCATATTGATGGATATTGGACTACTGCACCGACACTAGAGCCCAATCCCAGCCTGGCCCAGCCCATAATAACACGTAATGCACAATCCCAAAATTAGGGTCGGGCCATTGACAAGTCATAGCCACATATGCCTCTGATATAGGAGATGGAACATGTTCGTAGCCACAGTGGTTTTCCGATCTAATAATATATTGTCATATGTAAACTTTGGTGACATAATACCTTATGAGCCTGTTGGAGGAAACATAAAAAAAATTGCAAAAACATAATTGATTAAGAGTGGTTTGCAAGAAGGAAAAATGAGAGTGCGAATATCACTTTTTTTTTTTTTTTTTTTTCTTTTTTTTCTCGCAACCCATGATTTGGTGTTAAAGTTGCAAAAACACTGGTATGGTAATGAGACCCTGACCATAATTATAAAGTTTGTAGAGAAATAAAGTTGGTAGAGAAATATAGGGAATTTTTTTGAAATGTCATATGAACTTGTACACATTTTTCAATTTGTCATATAAATTAAAATTTTAAGCAATTTGTCGTACCCACTTTCCAAAATCATCAATTTGTCATTTTATCCTGACTCCGTTAAGTTTACCATCCAAAATAAGTCATGTGCGTGGCACATGACTTGTGTTCAGGGTTATTTCTGTCATTTTAACACCCCACTTCCTTCTATTAAGTTGCATTCGATCAAAACAATTCTAGGGTTTCTAAAGCCACAATTCTAGGGCTTCTGTCATTTAGACATTTTGTTAATGTCATTTTTTTTATTAATGAAAACAATGTTGTGAACTTAAAGCAATCTTTCCTCAATATTTGGTGTTTTTGATTTTCAACATAATCAAGCAATTCAACAATATTTTTGATATGGTAGCAATGAAATGATCATGCATTGCATTCTTGTATGGTTGCTCAAAATATGCTAAGATACACGAGTGGGTGTGTTCAGTTAGTATGTCATGAAATTGAATTTTATACGAGCTCTGTTATATATGAGAAACGGGTTGAGGTTTGATGCAAGAATTGGAGTTGTAGATGCATATATATTGCTCGAACACAACAATCTGCATGAATACCAGCGAACACAAAATTTAAGGGATTTACTAAAGAAAAATAAAGAACTTGTAAAAAGATCTTAAAATAACAGAATAGCCATGAACACAAGTCATGTGCCTTGCAAATGACTTATTTTGGATGGAAAACTTAACAGAGTTAGGATAAGATGAAAAATTGATGATTTCGGAAAGCTGATATGACAAATTGCTTAAAATTTTAGTTTAAATGACAAATTGAAAAATGTGTACAAATTTATATGACAATTCAAAAAATTTCCCATAAATATATACCAAAACATAGCTACCTCCCTTTGGTTTAGATTAATTCTGTCAATTATCTCTTCGAATTAATCGACAATCTTAAGTATGATTAAAAAAGGAATGCATTTAAGTACATGAAAAACAGCTTTTCTCAAAAGTGCTGTTGGGGTGAAGCACTACATATGGCTTATGCGTTTAGTAGTTATAGAATTAGAAGTGATTAGCTATGACAACTTTTCTTGATGTAGCAAGATGATCAGAACGCTCTTCCATAGTCACTTTCTGAGTAATTGACACAGGAACCAAGCAAAGGCCTTTGCTTCTGAGATCAACCACCTGCCCACGCCCAGATTCCTGTTGAATATTTCAAATTTTGTGAGATAAACTTTCTAAAAATTAAAATATCATGAAAAATCATTTAAATAGAATAAGTTACAAGCTTTTAATCAAAACTAAAATTGAGAGACACTAAACGGATAATTAAAAAGTTGTATCTAAACTGCATTTAGTGCATCTTTATGTTGACGAACTATAGTGCCCTTCAGGTTTCGTTTTTTATTAAAAATTTGTGACTGGTTCCATTTGTTTATGCATCCCAACTACCTTCTATACATACATACATACATACATACATACATACATATATATATATATATCTATAAATTAATTTCAAGTGCCTGCCGACCTGTGGGTGAAGAGCTGCAGCATTCTTGTATGAACTACTAAGCATCCTTTCCATATTCTGCTACAAAAATTGAAAACAAAAACAAAAACCCAAGAAGCAAATTAGCAACTAAAATCTATCTGCAGCATATGAAAGTGAAGATATTAATTATAATTTTATTACCATAATTACTTTACCAAATGTATACTTAATACCTGAATTTGTTCTTGGAGGAGCATGATATATATGGAAGCCTCTTGAAGAACTGAGGCAGTGTCAGTCTGCAATATACATACAAGTTTTAAACCCTAATTGTAATTAATTTGCAGATAATTACATTTTTTTCTATTAATGGGAAACCAGATATGAGATTTTAATGTTGTCCAACTGCTAATTACCTTGCCATAGGGGGAAACCAATTTTTGGAGAGCTGTGATTTTGTCACTAAGCTTTTGGCTTCTTCTCACTGGCAGATGATGCAACTTCTAGCAAAAAAATACAGCAAAAGCTCAACAACAAATCCACAGCTTAATTAAATGTTGACAAATTAACTTCATAATATATAACTGGATTAATTAGGATACCTTATTGTTTTGTTGCTCCATTGAGTTTTCTTGATGCCACTGTTGTTGAGAATTACCGTTTGTCATCTTGTTTCTCTTATTGTTGTATAAGTCGTTTAGAGCTGTCGTGTCACCAACCAGACGACCAAGGTCATCAACCTCAATTGGACGTTTCCTTGCATTTTGAATGGCCTGGCAATCCTTCAAGTAGGAAAAAAAAGGAGAGAAGAAAATTAAGATTTGAAGCATGGTTAAATCAAATAAAATTTCCACCTAGACAGGATGCACATAAAATGGAATTATCTCCACTCCATTTATTTACCTATGTAATTCTTCAATTTTTAGTAAAGTTTGATACACTCAAGTTCGATCATTTTTCAGATATGTGATTCAGATTTATAGTCTCACAAAATCAAGCATAATATATTGTCTCATGACATATATTGTGTATTTTTTCTTCATATTGTGACTTTTAATTCGTGTGAGACCAATTATTGGATAAAAATCAACAATTAAAGACCACATGAACGATTATCGCTAGCAGTGTTCAAGTTATTCACTTGGTTTGAAGTGAAGGACTAGTGATATTGAAATTGGGCAAATTCTTGTTAATTGTTGATTAGGATCTTAGCTACCGGCTAATTAAGAAGATCATTGGATCAACATACTACTTGAAATTGGGGAGCTGAAATCTTCTTGTCCAGCAACATTGACTGCCCGGCAATGTCATCATATCTGAATGCACCCGATGGATAGTTAACTGCAATCGAGCAAGGTAATTACTATTAATTAACCCAGTTCTTGTGTGAATTATTAGAGTTCACTAAATTACAAAAATCTTGATGAGGAGCAGGTGGAAAAAGACAAAAAAAAAAGGTAAATATTAGGCAGAAATTAGAAAAGTTGTTCCTGAAAATTGAAACAGATGGAAAGGGAAATGAACCAAACCTGCAGATTGATAGGTAACGAGGGATGATGACTGCTGCAGGGGAAGAGAAAAGTCTCCGGCTCTCATGTTATTCTGGTTGTCACTTTCGAATGCCTTGGACCCCATGCAAAAGCCACTGCCACCACAACAGGAGAGGACAATACATTATTTGGATAATTAAACAATATGTGATTAATGAATAATTAATACCAATAATCAACATGGAAAATCTAATTAGTTTTGCTAGAGGATCAGCAATGATTATGGTGAGGTCAACATAAATCTAATTCGCTTACAGCAGTGGACAGTCTTTCTTTAGTTCTTGAGATTAATTATATTTGATAAATATGAAGAGAAATAGATGAGTAATCTAATTGTTAGAGGTTTTCTTAGAATTAATAATTATAAGATGTTAAAAATAAGGAGATTAATTTCCAAAAATGAAAAATGTTGGGATAAAAGCTTAAAAAGGGAAAGAGCGCTTACAATTTTCTGTTCATGCTCATTTGTGCATCCCAATTTGTCATCTGAATATCAATATTGTTTCCTGAAGAAATTGAGGAATAATTGATATAATCATTGAATATCAACTAAGTGTACTTATGCTCAAAGTAAACAAAATTAACAGTATACTGATTAAGATTTGTGATGATGATTACCAAAGTTGAAAAGATGGGAGGGTAGAGATGGAAGAAGATCAGCGTTTCTCATTTGAACCCAACAAAATCCAATTCTACATAGAGTTGGCCTTCTGTTGATGTTTGCAGACTGTAGAATTTTTCTCAAAGTTCCTATATATGAACTTCTGAGCCCAGAAACTGAAAACACATAAAAGAAAACAAGGTTTTTAAGGTGTGATTTTATTGAGAGCACAATGCATGCATGTATTGATAATGTTAATCACATTCCACCTCAACGTTTAATTTCTTAAGCAGACTCAAATCAAAAGTTGTCTAAGAAAGGATTTGATTCAAAGAAACAATTTAAGCCCAAAAATAGAAAAAAGTTTCGACTCGAAAGTTTCAATTTTCACTTTGGTATCCAAAATGAATCAAGCAGAACCCGCAAAAGTGAAAACTGAAATGACAATCCTAGAAACCCAAGATTACTCGGAAGGGCAGATTATTATATACATGTCACCAGGGATATATCTCCTAATATAGCACTCATCATGCAACCTAAGGTGATGAGTACTACACTCACAAGGGGTTATACTCCCGGTGACACACATAGTATTTTGAACTCTGAAGACATGAATGGAAACTTTATTTCCTCACCTCCGATCTCTCGAAATGAAAAGAGCTAGCCCTGATGAGCTGAGAAAGTTTCCCAGATGATTTAGGTATATATTTTGTAGTGAAAAAGTTGTGACCTTGAAACTCCCTTTGAGTGCAGCAACGGTTCTTTTCCTTTTGAAGAAAAATGTAGTGAGAAGAAGGTTATATAAAATTAGTAACCGCAGTATGAATCGTGATCATGAAAGGAATATGAAACGTCCAGGTGACTCAGAGCCTTCAAATTGTACATGGGAATGAAATATCTCCGGATCCCTTTCACCTAATCATCCTCATCAAACAATCCGGATTCTTGAAATTTGATCCAACGGTTAAAAGCACGGGCTCACTTTAAAAGTTATAATAACTTTAGTCATTGGATCAAATTTTAAGAACTCAGATTATTTGATGAGAAAAATTAGGCAGAAGAAATCCGGAAATGATTCCTTTGCTTATACATGTATATATGGGCCTGGGCGGCTCTCTCTCTTTTACTAGCAAGTTGTCTGTTTGCTTTCGCTTTCACTTAATTTGACTTGATTTGTATTAATAAATTATATGAGTCGAAAATGACTGGTTACTTTCCTACTTGATGCAGCTGCATAGTCAAAGCTAAATAAGATGATGAAAATTTTGATAAATGACTCACATTTTGATTCAGTTTCTTTTCTGTTGCAAACTCTATATTGCACATAGTTAGAGCTTATCTGGATCTACTTTTAAAATAACCGAAAACGTTTTTGGTTAAAATGTTTTTAAAACTAATTTTTAATAAACATGTAAGTAAATCCTGGAAAAACACTTAAAGTGCTTTATGAAAAAAGCACATAACTGGTGCTTCTTGCAGAAAGCACTTTAAGTGCTTTTGGATCCAAAAACTTTTTTCTCGAAAAACGCTTGCAGTTATTTTGAGCTCTTATACTCGTATATCTTTCTGGCTTTTTTAGTCTGGACCAAACTTAGTATTCACTGGAAACTTCAGCCGTTGAATCTTCAATCACTGAATTATTGGATGCACATCTATTTGTTTATTCATTTGATTCATGCTATAGGCCAATTCATTCTAGAATTTTCAATACCATATGATTGCAGGTACCTAAACACAATATATACACATCGTAGGAACTTTCATGCTATAACTGATGGGTATATACTTTCATGGTACCTGCAATCATAGTTGAATGGTTCACCACTAAATTACTAATAATATCGATGCCTTTTAAAATGATCGAAAGCGTTTTTTGTGAAAATGTTTTTAGAACCAATTTTTAATAAACATGTAAGTAAATCCTGAAAAAACACTTAAAGTGCTTTATGGAAAAGCCACATAACTGGTGCTTCTTGCAGGAAACATTTTAAGTGCTTTTGGATCCAGAAACCTTTTCTCTAAAAACGCTTTCAGTCATTTTGAGCTCTTATACTCGTATATCTTTCTGGATTTTTTAGTCTGGACCAAACTTAGTATTCACTGGAAACTTCAGCCATTGAATCTTCAATCACTGAATTATTGGATGCACATCTATTTGTTTATTTATTTGACTCATGCTATAGGTCAATTCATTCTAGAATTTTCAATACTATATGATTGCATGTACCTAAACACAATATATACACATCGTAGGAACTTTCATGCTATAACTGATGGGTATATACTTTCATGGTACCTGCAATCATAGTTGAATGGTTCACCACTAAATTACTAATAACATCGATGCCTTTGAAAAAAAAAACTCTGTAAGTTGATGACAAATCGTTAGCGTCTTTTGTTGTACAATAAATGTTATCATAGACGCTCTAATGTTCAGTTTTGATGAAACTGCAAAATGAGGGATATATTGAGAATTTGAGAGGATAACAATTTCGGATCACTTACTGAAACTGATATGGGTCTAAAATTAGGTCATTGCTCTATTTTTGACATTTGTGAGTTTATTTTCATAGTCTTTCACGTGAATATATAAATGGATTTTTTAGAAGCTTTTTCTAATTTTGACAATAGCTAGGGAAACTGGGTAATTAATAATACAAAATTGGAACTATTTTTTCTTTTGTTTGTTTCTTTTATACTGATTTTCTGGGTGCTATCAACTGCTAGGCAGATAAGGGATGGAATTGCTACTTTAATTAGTACTCTATTGAGTTTATTGTTTGAGCTAGTATATTACTTATGAGCGAAAACAAAATAACATCTTAATTGAGACATCATGAATAAGCCAATGCTAATCAATCTGAAGGTTCGGGTACCTTCTTTTGGTATTGCATATCAGTATTAGAATTTGAAGATGTGCTCAGGAAATACAAAAATTCCAAGCTATTGAAAAATGAAAGGCATTCTACTTTTTGTTTTTTGGAATAGCGTTATAGTGTGACGGTAGGCCTTGTTTGGCATGCCGTATTAGACATTAAATAATACTATTTTAATATAAATAGGTGTTTGGCGGTTTATATTATAATATTTTTCTTTCTAGACAGAAACTTAGTTTTCATTACCAAAATATTAAATTGGCCTAGTATTTTGTTTTGAAACTTTTTCCAAGTGCATATCAAATGTGTTGTCTTACAATATCTAATTATGGATTCTATATCTTCACTAGATATGGAATGAGGATCTTCTCCGGATTCTCTTTGTAAGGATCTCAAAGATTCTCAAATCGTGTTCGTTCATTATACATCGTATGGTCAATTTTTGTTACGTGCTGTTCATACAATTTTAAATAAAAAATTTAAAATAATTACTGACTGTATGATGTACGATGAACGGACACGATTTGAAAATTTCCAAGATCCTCACAAAGAGGATCCGAAGAGAATACTCTCGAATGAAAGAAAGATTGTGGCATGCTTTGGATGATGCAATGAAAAAAGCCTTCGTACTCATGTTATTTGGACAAAGTAACCATGATTGAACTTGGACAACATTATTTTATTTTGTTAAAAAGGAGAAACAATATATTTTGTTTACTTGGATGAAGTAACCACAGAATGAGGACATTCTTACTTGCAATAATATATTTTGTGAACTTGGCATGTGGTTGGATTAATCTGATTATGGTTGTGGTTTTTTTTTTTTGTGAACATTAATTATTTTATTGGGAAATGGGCGGTGCTATCCACACACTTTTTCAAATTTTGACTGTTGAATTGAATGAATTAAAGAATATCAAATGACAACAATTAACAAGGACGTGTCAAATGTAAAAAGAATGTGTGGATAATACTACCTTGAGAAATATTGATGTATGGAGTTCACTTTTTTTTATTGTTATTGTTCGTATGTGTTGTTTAAGATTGGTATAATTCCGATAAAAGAGTCATCAAACATATAAGGTTCTGTCAAAAAGTTTTCCTTTTTTTCCTTTTCATTTTATCACCAATTTCTCTCTTAAAAATAAACATTATTTGTCATAAAAAAATAAAAATAGTACGAAATCTTCTTATCTGGTTCAATACTAAACAAAGTATTAAATAGTCAGTTTTTAGTCTAATACTGCACTAAATGACTGATTACATTAGTCAGTACTATCTGATGCACAAATTAGTCCATCTGACTTAAAATAGTCAGTACAGTCCGACATACTAAGCGAGACCTAATGTTATCTATCAATTTGTTAGTGTGACGGTCACACTGTCACGTATAATGTTATTAATCTATGTACTATAATACCTGCAATAGATGACATATCACCATTTTCTCCCTTCCTATAACATATACCATCACTTTGTTATTAGTGTGTTAGAGCTTTTTAAACCACAATTATGAAAATATTTGTTGCCCTCCACCAAATTTGTTAAAACAATAAGACTTTATATTAATTTGTCTTTCTGTGCTTGGTCTTATTAACTTGATTCCACTTGTGCCATGCCTCATTAACAAAAGCTTAATTTTGACCTCTTCCCAAAATGGGGTTGAAGGTTATTTGGCCAATGTCCATAAGCATGCAAACTAATGTACTTGCAGAAATGCAAATTTAACTAATAATTATGATCACACTCTCTTTTTTTATTTGCAATTGTAATTGTGTAGTTCTTGTTTTTTCTTGCCGAAAAATTGCTTAGTTCTTGTTTGGTTGGTCATTCTTCGACCGTCCTTGGTATCATATTTGTTAATTATCCTCTCTCCATTGTCAATAATTTAGTTCAGCACATAATATACATATAAGATAATATTAAGAAGGTATGCTCGATGATTATTAATATTTTTGGCTTCAAAGTTTTAATTAAAAGGGTTTACAAGAAGTTGGGGATTAAAATAATAAGGAGTATGTTTTCTAGTTGTTGTGTTTATTTATTTATTTTTTCACAAACGATATCATTATCTACACTAAAGGAGTGGGGGAGTGGCTAAGCTTCATAATGAGCTAACAATAATGTGGTTCAAATTCACCTTTGACGAGAATCGAATCTAAGAACTTTTACTTATAAATGAATAGGAATACTTCTAAATCATAATACTATTATGACGTGTTTATTTCCTATATTGACTCTCGAGTCGATTACAAATTTTTACAGTGTAAGATACTCTTAATACGTAATAAACAAGGTACTCTCAATACGTTATAATAATGTAAGATAAACAAAGGTCTAGAACTGTTGTCATCCTAAACCCTCTACTTGTTATGGTTTTATCTGTTTTTATTCTCCTGCAAACTTAATATATAGAACAAAACTAAGTCAGCCTCTCTTTGGTGTCTGTAGATATTAACAATATCTGCAAAACATTTATACAGTGCCAAATGTCCAAATTTTCAGCGTCCAACCTGATAGTTAAGTCGGAAACATATAATTATATTGCATGGTTGAGTCCTGCGACTACTGCAAAACAAACCTTACACTTGCGTTGTTATCTGAGAGAAAGAATCAGAACACGTAAATGTTAGTTTAGTAGATTTTATTAATCTTTATATGGAACAACATTAGGGTTGACCAGGTTGAAAATCTGGAAGTCAGAGCTGCAGATTGTCATTTAGGTTTTGTATATACATGAACCAGTCTTCCCCATGCAATATAAATTATTCTCGTTTACTTAATTATGAAATTTAATTTGCATGGTCTACTATTAAAATACAAGATTAAACGATTTCCTCCATGTAAGTATTATATCAACGAGTTTTTATATATTAATTATGACCTATTATATTATGGAAGATTGGAAGTCAATCCTCAATTCCTCAGTGACTCAGTCTCTGTCTTTTGGTATCCAATTGATTCGAAACGTAGCAATATTATACATCCATCTGATCAATCATCATCATGTCACTGGATATTATTTGCAGGCCTCTATATTAAAGGAATGGGAATGCAAAAATAAGGTACAAATTATGTCAAGATCTTGTAGTTGAAGCACTTACTAGCGTTTACCTTATGCACTTGATCGAGGTTCTTTGTTTGAATATTATATATTTAGAGAATTTCTTTGTCAAGCCAAAAATAGTTGAAATGCTCCCTTGGGTTAAATGATATCTCTCGTCATTAGAACAATACAAATTGTTTAGAGAGGGTGAAATGATGCGTCTCGAGCGCATCGATCGCTCATTAGAGAGTGATTAAAAAGTACTTTACCTGAGCGCTAGACTTGGCAACATTTATGTCTCTTCATAGACTTCTTTTCCCGTTAATGGCCAACGTGTGGCTTGTAGTTGATATTTAGACAAACCTGTCCTTGGAACTCTGTGCCAGAAAGTTGTTAAGTTCTGCACTTATCTCTTCTTGTCAATAAACAATCCAGGGCTATGAGAAGTCGTTGAAGGCAACCGTCTTTCTTCTCACGGTGATGTTCAATCATCTGAATTTCTTTGGTTGGCTTGGAGGGCTAATGTCTAGATCTTCTCATCCTTAGTGGGTTCTCTAGGCCTATCTATTGGGCCCCAAAACAACTATTTATTATTTTAATAGATCTAGAAGGACCCTACATTAACAATTGTCCCAGAAAAAGTATTTTATAAAATGAATCCCTTATTTGTTTTGACACAATAGAATGAAGATCAAATCAACTAAAAACTGAATGATTATCAAATGTTCTATCACCTTACATTAGACCATGATGAACATACTATTCAAATGCCAAATTTACTGGGTAGGGCATTTAGTTTGGGCTGCATAATTCCGGGCCGAACTTTCAATGTTTCAGGTCCGATACATGAGGATAATGGGCTTACAAACGAACTCGATCCGAAACAAAACCACATCGCACTGGAACCAATTGGGGTCCGAAAGGGCAATTCAGTCAATCGCTCCCTCATTCGGTCATTCCCACCAAGTATAATTGCCTGGATTCCACTTGACTCGTTCTCCCTTAAGCCCTACAAACCCTAGCTCTCTCGGAGGCGCCTCTGCAGATACTGCGCATCTCATCTGGTACGTGATTTTTCAGTCCGAAACTTGATAATCTCCATCATTTTGTGAAATTATTGCGGTTAGGGTTTGCTTTTCGTCTCTTATTTGTTCAAGTTTAGTCCTTTTTAATTAATCTTTAATTATTTTTTGAGGTTGATTTCGGCAACTGGATCTGTTGGATCTTGCTTTTGTTAATTTGATTTCGAATGTGTTTTGTTTTGGTGTGTTTAGATTGAAATGTTAATTTTTTTGCCTAAGTAGGTCAAATGTTTGTTTTTTGCTTGATTATTGTGGGCAATTTGTGGGAATATATATTTTTGGAATTGGTTTAAGAAATTAGGGATTTTGAGCAAGCTGTGATAATATATGAATGTAGATTGATATGTTTGATCGAGCTAGAAATGGAAAAGGTATCGAACTACCGTCGAGGGTTTTTATTTGCTTTTATAACAAAATGCTTATAGTGTAAGATTTGACAAGCGATTAGTTTTTGTATTATGTTTCTGTTTGGCACATTTGAGCTTATTTACTTGCGTGCAATATCATGAACGTATTGGATGATCTTTTCTGAAGTGCAGAAGCGACAATGGTGAGAGTTAGCGTTTTGAATGATGCTCTTAAGAGCATGTACAATGCTGAGAAAAGGGGCAAGCGCCAGGTCATGATCAGACCATCATCCAAGGTCATCATCAAGTTTCTTTTGGTGATGCAAAAGCATGGTACGTAGCCATCAATTGATTGCTTGAATGCCATATTTTCATCGTTTTCAGTTACTCTGTGAGTTGATATTTTTCTGGATATGGATATTAATGTTCTTGGTTTGGTCTGTAGGATACATTGGTGAGTTCGAGTATGTTGATGATCACAGGGCTGGTAAAATTGTGGTCGAGCTGAATGGAAGGCTTAACAAGTGTGGGGTTATTAGCCCTCGTTTTGATGTCGGTGTTAAGGAGATCGAAGGATGGACTGCCAGGTTGCTTCCTTCTAGACAGGTTAGCCCATTGTTATCAATTTGCTATTTCAAGCCTAGAAACAGGACATGTCTTAGTTGATTCTTCTGAGGAAACATGCACAGTTTAGATTTGGTAGCTCGTCTATATTTTAGAGGAAAAAAAAACTCTTAAAATGTTAGGTGCAAGATAATATATGGTTGGTCATGTCAATGGTGATTGCCCTAGCTTTTCCAGTCGGCTCTAGCTGTTATCAAACACTGAGCTTTCCTGTAATGTGCTTCACATATCCTTAATCTAGACCTTTTGTGTCATAGAACTTTTAATTCTGGTTTCCATTGAATGTTCCGCATTGTGTATATTTCTTATCCATTTAAGCTTATGAATTTTCGGTTAACCTTGCAGTTTGGATACATTGTGCTGACAACATCTGCTGGCATTATGGACCATGAGGAGGCTAGGAGAAAGAATGTTGGTGGTAAAGTGCTTGGTTTCTTTTACTAGGCCAAGGTTTATTTAATGAATGAGATTTGAGTTTTCCTGATTCTGAGGAGCTTTTGGGTGTACTTTTGAACATCGTAGGATACTTCTATGTTTCAATTTGTGTTTGTTTTGGATGCTGATAGAGGTTACTCAAACGTTATTCGTTTACTTTATCTTTAAGCTATTGGTGTTTATTTATCCATAATGCATCTGGTGCTGCCTCGGTCTTAAGTTATCTACTGCAATCCAAATTTTTGGCTTCGATCAATGAATACTTCTGAATGGTTTGTATTTGTCTGACTATGGATGAATGAAAGTCGATTTTGAACTTGACATGGTTCTGAAAATGTAACTTGAGCTTGCAGCTGCACATGTTCCTAAACAGATGTCTGTTGGCCAGGAATCTTTGACTTATGTGCGGTTCGATTGTATGTATGTCATTTTTTTCATGGTGCCGTCTAGTCCGCGGATCTTCTCCGGATCCAATTGACCTAATCCTAGGGATCCATCAATCTGGGTTGTTGAAATTTGATTCAACGGTTAAAGTTATTATAACTTTTAAAGTGGGCTCTTATTTGTAGCTGTTAAATCAAATTTCAACAGTCCTGATTGATGGATTCCTAGGATTAGGATAATTGGATCCGGAGTGGATCCATGTCCGTCCCCTGCCTCGAATCACTTGAGGAAAAAGATAGGAAGACTGTAGTAGTGAAACCTGAACAGGGAAGTTGAATATCCGATCCGTTTCTCTATCTGGTTTTCTTGTATGGCTCCATGTTGAGCGTCCCCGTCTAGGGAGCTGTCAAATTTTTCTCTCGGATTTATTTCTTTACCGTTGGTACAGTTATTGATCGTTGGATTAGTTTTGAATGACCAAGATTATGGATCTTTGAGGTTAACGTCTGAAGTCTTTATGCTCGTCTCTTTTCGGATAAAACCAAATTCAAATAGACGGTCAACCATAAGAAGTACAAACAAGTCTGAAGTGATTAAGGAGAACGTAATCTGATGTTCTCATTTTTCTTTAAAAAGAGAACCATAAAAACCGTACAAATGGATTCGTACGTGCTTCTATGGTCCACATGGATCTACTAAATCCCACAATAAAAATCATGCATGGCTAATGACGTAATGCGAACAGAACTGTTACTAGTGCTTCAATATATTCGTACTTTTTTCCTTTATTTTTCATACATGGGTAAAGTGCATAATGACTCTAAGAATATTCTATCGTACGTTTAGATTACCGAAAAAAAGAGAAAAATGTGATGTATGAGAACAAGAGAATACACATAAACCAGCAGGGGTTTTATTAGGAGAGATTAATGCCAACACTGAAGGACTCTCCCACCTTGACCTAGCAGTAGTGGAAGTGGCGGTGACAAAAGTAGTACTGGGTTTTGAAGCATAATATATTAAATTTAAAGTTTAACAACAACACAAAGAGAAAAGAGACTGCCAAAGATCTGTAGTTGCCCTAGCCACCATCAAAGCCAACCTACGTGACTTTCAAATTTCAATTAGTTTCTTCGTCATCGTCCTCTGCATCATCGTCTTTGTTGGTAGTAGCAGCAATATGGTCACCACCAACTCGACTGCCACCACTCTTGACTTCCATTGGCAACGAGGCGTCGAGGACGAAGAAGCGGATGTGATGATGCAGAAGCAAGAAGATGGATGATGATGATGATGCTCAAGAGCTCTTCATGTTGGAAAGGTAATGGGCGTGTCATGACGTTTTGTAGGGGAAGGGAAGGGAAGGGAAGGTGGGTAGAATATCTTCTCAGGAATCAGGATATGCTCCAACCACAACTTTTTGCGTTCCATTTCATTTGCCTTTTTCCTCACTTTCCAATTATTTTTTCATTTTTTTTAGTTGGGCTAAACTTCAAATATATGCAATCACTTGCAAATGCGTGTAAAGTTTCCTTTTACTCTCTTTTATTATCGTACTAAAAAAAGGAGGTTAAAATGCTTCTACGAATTTTTTTGGTTCCCGAAAAGAATAGATAATCGTAGTTTACCACCAGTTGTCTCATTTTACAAAAAAAAAAAAAAAACTGAGACGTGGGTGGTTGTTAAGTTCATTACTTTTTAAAATATATTTTAATAAAAAAATTATTATTGATACTCCTAAAACCTCATTTTGCATTTCAAATTTTCTATAATTAAAAAGAAAAATGCGCTTACGAGGAGTGTAGATTAAATAAATTTTTTGGAGTGCTATACAGTTTCATTTAATAAAATATATATATAAAAAAAAAAGAAATCAATTGTCAGTTGCCATACGTTTACGAGTGTGGCGAGAACCTAGTATATTGAAATCCGTGTTCGTAGGTTGTCTTTCGGCTTTCAATGGTTTTTAGGCCCAAACTATCTTGGGCTTTAGGGGCCTAACAAAGAATTATACAGAAGAAAAACCGGGAAAATATTCTGCGAAGGCGGGTGCAGGGAGATACGGTGCGCTCTCATACGGTAGAGAGAGTGACCAACGTATTATACAGACAGCCCAAAAACTCGAATTCCTGAAACCCGACGTCGCCTCCCAAATTCATTGGATCGTTTTGACGTCGCCGACGACCGCCCGCTACAAGCTTCTTTGAAAGGTTTCTCTCTCATCTCTCTCTCGCTGCGGTCTCCTGCAGTTTCTTAGATTTTGATTCTTGTTGATTTTTTGGTTTGGAATTTGGATTGCAGAGAGTGGTTTCGATTTGGAATTTGGGGTCGGTGAGAGAATAAATCAATTCATGGCTACTTTGCAACCGACGAGGGCTCGGGCGGATCACGACTATCTCATCAAGCTTCTCCTCATTGGCGACAGTGGTTAGTTGTCGTTTATCCTTCTCTGTTTGGTTCCTGAGAAAATTTTGGAATTGGGAATTGGAAGTTGGACATTCTGAGATCTAACGTGTTTTTCCTGTACTTTGGTAATTCTGGTGGCCAATGTGCTTTGCTTTTCATCCGAGTGAACAATTTTTTTCAATAAAAAAAGATATAATCGTTATTTCTGAACCTTTTTTTTTGTTAGAAAATAGTGGGTGTAGGGTAATATTTAGTTCTGTCAAGTTTGAAATTTTGAATGCGTGCAGTTTTTGGTAAATTTAGTGTTTAGGGAACTGTATGTGAGTGTAATTAGATGGGTTTGTGTGAAAGATCCAGTTTTGGGTTTGATGAAGACTAAGAGAGTGAGTATAATCGTACGAATTTGTTTTACGTATCGAAAATGCGATGATTAATATCTAACTCTTATGTGACTCAATATGCATCACAATATATGCTTGATAAAAAATAACTAGATAGTGATCACAAGTATGATAAATTACCTTATGCGCGTTGGACTGTCTTGTAGGGGTTGAAGAGCATTCAACCTCTTACCATGATATCTGATATCAATTATTGGATAAAGATCAAATGCGAGCTCTGATGGGGCTCCTTTTTTTGGTGTCAGTTGAGATTATTGCTTTGGAGGATATGTTTTGAAATTGTGTTGAGATGGATAAGAATTTTTAGAAATTTTTTTGTTTGGATGGTAGATCTTGTGCATTAAAAATGGTCTAATTGTGAACTATCAGGGATCTGGTGCTTTCATCTCTTTTTTTTTTTTTGAGAGATTTTCTTAGTTTCGGTTATCAACTTTTTGGTTGTAAAATGTTAAACATTTCTCGTGTAATTTTCCAGGTGTTGGCAAGAGTTGTCTGCTTTTGCGTTTCTCTGATGGCTCCTTTACAACAAGTTTTATCACCACTATTGGGTTTGTATTCGTAGAATCTGTTTCAATTTTTGTATCTGGAAACTTTTAGCAAGCGAACAAGTTTTGTGAACCGGTATATTAAGTCTGTTAGGACATGGTCATTAGCTACTGCTTAAAGCTGCTGTAGAAATATGGCATAATGAACTATTACATTAAGTGTGTTTTCTTTTAGAAGATTCATCTTTGTTTAGCATCTCTTAGATGGTCCTTTTGGTGACAGGATTGATTTCAAGATAAGAACAATTGAGCTTGATGGCAAACGGATTAAATTGCAAATCTGGGATACGGCTGGTCAAGAACGATTTCGAACAATTACAACAGGTTTTTGTTTGAGATTTTACAAATAGATAATTTGAAATGGGAAAATGCACAGTTGCTGCGGTCGAGGGAAGACTAGGGGGCAGGGGTTCCTTTCTTAGAGATAATTTTGATATTCTTGAATTATGTCCTCTGTTATTGTTATTCAGGAGTTTCCTTATGTATCTATGTTATGCTCTGCAGCTTACTATCGAGGAGCCATGGGTATTTTGTTGGTGTATGATGTTACTGATGAGTCATCTTTCAACAGTAACCTCTCGTTTTCCCTTTACTCTCAGTATATGAATTTTTTGATGTCATGCTGATTTTAAAGTCATTTTGCTTGCTTATTTTTGTTATATTAAATCCAAATTTCGAGGAATTGGGATGTAGACATTTTAACGGTGTGGTTTATTTTGGGTGTGCTTACACTGGTGTAGTTCCTTCAGTTTGACCGTTAAGTCTAATTTCATTGAGGTGGTGGATGGTTGAAACCATCTGCGGCACTTTTACCATCTCCGTATAGAAGTTTTATGTTCAATGTAACCCTTCTTAGGGTAATTGTCTATTCATGTGCAGACATTAGAAACTGGATTCGCAACATTGAGCAGCATGCTTCTGTCAATGTCAACAAGATTCTGGTGGGGAACAAAGCTGATATGGATGAAAGCAAAAGGGTGTGTAATCTATACATTTTCACTTGCAGGAAATGCTCTCCTTTTCTAACCTGGTGAAAGAGTGAGATGTGAATGTGATGAGTTTTAGAATCCTATTGGGATCAACATGACGGTGCTAAATTTGCACGCCCTATCCCTAATCGTTTATTTTTGCATGTGTTTGTGTGTGCGGACATGCCCAAGCTTTAATAATTATCTTTTCTTTTTAGGCTGTGCCGACGTCTAGGGGTCAAGCGCTTGCTGACGAGTATGGTATCAAGTTCTTTGAGACTGTAAGTAGTAATATGCCTTTGGTATTTTCACTGCATAAGCAATTTCGTTCTTTTCATAATGAAAAGAAAATGTTCTGCAGAGTGCAAAGACGAACCTGAACGTGGAGGAGGTCTTCTTTTCTATAGCCAGGGATATTAAACAGAGACTCGCAGAATCTGATGCCAGGGGCACTGAGGTATTTTCATGCTCTCAGAAGTGGGAATCCTTTTCTTTCCCCAACTCTTCTCTCAAATGTTGACGAACTTGTTTTGTTTCAATGGTTTCAGCCTCAGACACTTAGGATTAACGAACCAGACAGAGCCGATGGTCAAGCTGCACAAAAGTCATCTTGCTGTGGTTAGTAGAACAAGAGAAGGTTCTGTTGGTCGTACTGATGTGGATTTGAGGCAAACCTTGATAACTCCATGGCGGGCGCCTCTCTTAGATCTCTCAAACCACCAGCATTAGTAGTAAACGTAGTTTTTTTTTCTTTTCTTCGTAATTCTAAAATTTACAATGGCACATCTACCTTTCATCGTCTTTCGGTTCCAAGGGGCTTCTGCTTGTCATTGCCTCTGTTTGTCGCCTGTCTTGTTGTAGATAGATAATCAGGTTCGAGCTTCTTGTCAAGAGAGCTTTAAAGTTCAAACAATGCCAATTACCTTTCTGCAGTAAACCCATCATTTATCCCATATTTTCATCATTTATCATTGTTTCTCCACATTCTTTATGATATATACCGATACCGATTAGACGATTAAAGAGCCGATCAAACGCCCAGGAAACTTTTCACAATTTATACGGAAACCCGGATTCGGATCTGCGTGATAGATCAGCAGATTTGGCAGACCGAACACATAGGCGAAGTGACTTTTCTGGGAGCAGTGTCGAATGGTGTAGCTGCACTGAGTGAGCAACACTGTAATTTGTTGCCAATCTGAAAGGAAGTAAGAATGAAGCATATGTGGGTGATGCCAAATTGGCCACGAATTTGGCATCGGTAGCTGGCCCATCCACTTGCTTCCGACTTTGATTCTCATTTTTCGTAAATTAGTGTAGTTTAGATTTTTTTTGCAAAATAAATAAGATGTAAATGCAGATCCGGCACATATGGAAGATAAAAAGCAATATTTTTTTTAATACGACGATATATTTTACACTAAGAGGAGGGAGCGTTGATGTTGTGAGCCTATAAAAAGGGGACTCATATATGGACTTGATTCAATGTCACTGTAACATACTGATTCAATGATATATGTTACCTTTAAGTTGCGAATTGACCTATGTAAGTTGCTTTCTTATAAAAAGATGCAATCTTCAAGCATTGGTGACGATTATATAGGAAAACAAAATACAACTCTCATCACTTAGTATTACGGTTTAATGTTATTCCTATTCGCTTTAAGTGAGGTTTTAGGTCTGATTCTCGCCAAAGAAAAATTTGAGCCACATTATTACTAGCTTATTATGAGGCTAAGCCCAACTCATACTATCGTAAAAAAAAAATAAATAAGAAAATACAACTCGCATTTTTCTATTCTTCACAACATAAGAGATCTCCCCGTAGGCTCTTAAATGAGCTTCTTATTCAAATTGAAAATTATTTTTAGCACTCTAAAATTCCACTTTCAATCTGTCTCTTCTAAATGTAAGGTAACTTAGAATATCATCTCGTTTATCCAAAAAAAAAAAAAAAACTGTAAATAACAAAATAAGATTGGGCCTGGATCTGGATTTGGGCCTCTCTCCCGGACCCCCACCCACAATAAAAAAAACCCAAAACCCACTTTCCATGTATCCCAAGTTAAGCTTCCATTTTCAGTCTCGTCACTTTCCCGTTAGCTATCTTTTAGTTCTATAGCTTTGGCGCCATGGCAGTTATAGCAAAAACTGCACTCCAACTCACTGACATCATCACACTCGCTCTTCGAATTCGAACCTACTCCGATTCGATCCATGCATTTCATCCTCCCAGCTTTTCTTTTTTCTCACGCAATCAGATTCCAGCAGCAGCAGATTTTGGCGATGCTTGTCTATTGAAATTTGATGTATATTTCCTTGATGTAAACAATTACAAGATGAAACATATATATAGGGAAGAAAAAGAACATAAGCCTAATTTTGCCTAACTTACCTAACTTGCTTGACTAACCTAACTTGCCTAACCTTGAACAAGAAAATTGACTAGCCTACCATTATTTCAACATGTTTATTTCAAGCATTTTAACACTCCCCCTCAAGTTGGAGTGTGAATGTCGATGACACCCAACTTGCTAATTAAGACCTCAAATTGTGCCGAGCTTAGTGGTTTGGTGAACAAGTCTGCAGGTTGATTCGAGGTCCGTATGTAAGCTGTTTGCACCATTCCCATTTGAATCTTCTCACGTATTAAGTGACAGTCTATCTCTATATGCTTCGTTCGTTCATGAAACACTGGGTTCGAAGCAATGTGCATGGCAGCTTGATTATCACAAAACATTGTGACTGGTTGTGCATGATTTACTTGCAAGTCCTTCAAAATGTTTCTTAGCCATATAACTTCACAACAAGTAGTAGCCATAGAACGGTATTCTGCCTCTGCACTGGAACGAGATATTGTGTTTTGTTTCTTCGTTTTCCAAGATATCGGTGCTTGTCCAAGGAAGATACAATAACCGGTTATTGACCTTCTAGTGTCTTTACATCGAGCCCAATCAGCATCACAAAAGGCTTGTAGTTGTAGTGAACCTGTAGAAGGCAAAAGAATTCCCTGTCCAGGAGATTGTTTGATGTACCTGAGAACCTTATGCACCGCTTCAAGGTGTGGTTGTCGTGGCTTGTCCATAAATTGGCTCAACATATTAACCACATAAGTCAGGTCAGGTCTCGTGATGGTTAAGTAAATCAGCCTCCCTACGAGTCGCCTGTATGAAGAAGGATCATGTAGGAGCGTCCCATCAGTTTGTGTAAGGGACAGGTTTGGTTCCATTGGTAATCGTGAGGGCTTCGCACCAAGGAACCCAGCATCTTCTAGTATTTCCAACGCATATTTGCGTTGGCACAAGGCAATCCCTTGTTTAGATCTTGCAACTTCTATCCCCAAAAAGTATTTGAGTTTTCCCAAATCCTTTAGTTTAAAATGTTGGGAAAGGAAGAGTTTAGTCTCTTCAATTTCTCTCAAATTGTTACCTGCAAGTATCACGTCATCAACATACACAAGTAATGCCATGAAACTGCCTTGACGGTTTCGGACGAACAATGAGTAATCTGACCATGATTGATGAAAGCCAGCAGTCTTGAGAGCACTAGACAGCTTGATAAACCATTGTCTCGAGGCCTGTTTTAAACCATAAATGGATTTGTGTAATTTGCATACTCGTGTCTCCCCCTTTCGTCCGAACCCAGGAGGCAGGGACATATAAACCTCCTCGTATAAGTCACCATGCAAGAATGCGTTGTTCACATCAAGTTGATGAAGATGCCAGCCTCGTATGGAGGCAATACTCAGGAGGACGCGGACGGTGGTGAGCTTGGCAACTGGAGCAAAAGTTTCCAGATAATCAAGCCCCTCAATTTGACTGTAGCCTTTAGCAACGAGACGAGCTTTGTAGCGTTCAACACTGCCGTCAGGTTTAAGCTTCACCTTATATATCCATTTGCAACCGATGGGATGTTTGTGAGGTGGTAAGGGCACAAGAGTCCAAGTGCGATTGTCATGAAGGGCAACAATCTCTTTTTGCATGGCGTCACGCCATTTTGGATCCTGAACAGCCTGCGAAAAACTGGTGGGTTCTTTGATAATGGTGAGGGTGGTGAGAAAAGTTTTGTGAGTGGGGGATACATGGTCATAAGATAAATAATGAGATATGGGGTGAGATGTACCTGATGACTGGACCAAGCTTGTGGAAGATGTGGGAGCAACACGGGAAGGGAGGGCCACCTCAACATGAAAGTCCTGCAAAAATGTGGAAGTTTTGGTCGGTCGAGTGCTACGACGGAGTGGAGGTGGTGGGTCTGGTGATGGAGTGGTTGGAGGTGGTGATAAGGTATCGGGTGGTGGAGTTGTAGTAGGTAAAGGAGATGAGGGTGGTGTGATGTCGGTAAGTGTGGGAGAGGTGGTGTTTATGTCTGCGGGTGCAAGGCTTGAGTGCGACTCAATGGGAGAGGTCAAGTCAAACGTGATGGATGAGGGTGTAATGTTTGATGGAGACGGGGCAACGGAAGTGGTATGATTTTGGAATGGAAAATGATTTTCAAAAAAAACAACATCCCTAGAAACAAAAGTCTTATTGTGTTTTATATCAAACAATTTATAACCCTTTTGACCATAAGGATACCCAAGAAAAATGCATTGGATTGCACGGGGGTCGAATTTAGAGGGCCTTTGGGCATGTGTAGAAGCAAAACATAAACTACCAAAAACCTTTAAATGTGAATAGTTAGGTGCTTTGTGAAACAGTTTTTCGTAAGGTGTTTTACCTTGGAGAAGTGGAGTGGGTGTTCTATTGATGAGGTAAGCTGAGGTTAAGATTGCATCCCCCCAAAAACGTTTTGGCAAACAAGCTTGAAAGAGCAAAGCCCGAGCAACATTGAGCAAATGTCGGTGTTTACGTTCGGCAACACCATTTTGTTGTGGTGTGTTGACACAACTAGATTGATGTATGATGCCTTTGAGAGCATAAAATTGCTCAAGCTTAAACTCAGGGCCATTGTCACTTCGTATGATTTGAACTCTGGTATTGAATTGAGTCTCAATCATTTGAATGAATCCCACTAAAATGTCTTTTGTGTCAGATTTATGTTTCATCAAATAAACCCAAGTGCTTCTAGTGTAGTCATCTACGATGGTAAGGAAATACTTGGCACCTGAAATAGAAGCAACTTGATAACCACCCCAAATATCAATATGCAATAATTCAAAACATGATTTGGTAGAAATAGAGCTCAAAGGAAAGGGTGATCTTGTTTGTTTGGCCAATGGGCAAATTAAACATTTTTCCAAATCACAAGCCTTATTGTTAAATAAAGGTAATAACGAAGTGGCTTTATGAGATGGGTGTCCTAGGCGTTGGTGCCAAAGCTTTGGTGAGGCGGTTTGAATATTGTTGCATGTTCCTTTCTTTGATGGGTCGAGGTAGTAAAGTCCATCCCTTTCAGTTCCTGTCCCAATCATCTTCCCCGAGCGAAGGTCCTGAATGACACAAAATTGGGTGAAGAAAATGGTGACATATAAGGAATCATAGGCTAGTTTACTGATAGATATTAAATTCAACCTAAAGAACGGCACACATAGGACATTTTCAAGGATAAGATTATGAGAGAAAACAACTTGTCCAATGTGAGTGACTTTGGCAATGGAACCATCTGGCAGTTCAACTGTATGATTTTCAACAGTTCGTGAGTGTGTAAGGAGACTAGGACTGCAAACTATGTGATCCGTGGCACCACTGTCCAGGATCCAAATACTTTTGGTCTCTTTACATGGAAAAGAGAAGGCTTTACCTGAAAGTTCTTCATGGCTAGGAGGATTACTGACTTGATTGGCAAATGATGATTTGTTCTTGTTCAACATCTGAAGGATTTGCTTGCAGTCCTCCTGAGAGAACGGGAAATTAGGCACTGTCTCTTGCTTGTTACTTTGTGAAACTTGATTGCCCTTTGAAGAAAAGAGACGATTGGATTCGGTCTCTGTGGCTGCTTTCCGTTTTCGACAGAAATCGAAGGTGTGGCC